CAGTTTGATTTATCCATTCATACTTTTCAGGACTCTCCCCCATGCCTAGGGAATGGTGCTGCCCACAGTGGACTGAGTCTTCCCACATCAGTTAACTTAATTAAGACAAGCCTATAGGTCAATCTGTTATATACAACCCTTTGTAATGTGAGATTCTCTTCCCAGATGGTTCTAAATTGTGTCAAGTTGATACTTAAAACTAATTATTGCAGGTAACAATTGTTCTTGACGTACAGATATAATGCAGTTCTGAGACTCCTAGTAAGAATTTTTTTTTCTTTTTTCTTTTTGTTTGGTAGTATTTGTCTATTTATTATGTACAAAGCTCTGGGTTCAATCACCAGCACCATGTGCTTTAGGTGTGGTAGTGCATGCCTATTATATTGGCTTCATTCCAAAGGTGAAGCCTGAATATGGCACATAGGAACATCTAGAAGCAAGCACCCATGGACACCAAGGGACACCATTGTCTAGTTGTTTCCCACATACTGTCTGTCTAGCTCAGAGAGAAAACAGTGAACCCAAGTTCAGAAGTCTTTTACTTTACCATGGCACACAAGTGCTAAACATTCACTAGAAGCCATACCTCAAATGTTGAATTTTGATTGTTTCATAGGCTAGTGAGATGCAGCTGGATACACTTTGAAGAGGCTAGGCAGATTAAGTGAGAATACTATGTTACTAACCATTCAAGGTCATCTTCAGTGACACAGAGAATTTGTGGCTAGCCTGGACTACATGGGACCCAAGTTGAACTGTGGTTATAAACACAGGATAAGGATTCGGGGGTTAGTTTATGGAGGCTATATAGATAAAGGAAATTTTAATGTTGGAATCTAGGTGATGGATATACCAGTATTTACTATAAAATTCCTTCACTTTCATGATGTTTGGCTTTTAGGGGTAAGAGTTTTGCTTGACATTTTAAAAACTTATTTATTTTAGTTTATTAGTGATTTGACTACATTTAAATATGTGAACCATGTATATAAGGCAAAAAAGGACATTGAATCCCCTGAGTTACAGATGGTTGTAAGTCACCAGGCTGTGAGCTGGGAACTGAGCCTGGATCCTCTGCAAGAGCAATGACTATTCTTAACCACTGAGCCATCTCTTGAACCACGGGCTTGACAGTTTTATAATATGCTAAAAATGCAAAGCATGTCTATTCTATAAAACAATAGGTATCTGTTCAAATGAGCTGTCATATAGTAATGTAGAGTGATGCATTTTTGAAGATGTCATGTTGTATGGCAATAGATATGAGGAGACAGCATATCTGTATGTCTTGGCTGTGCGTGAGTGTGCACAGAAGCCTCAGAGATATTACAGGCCATCTGCAAAAGTAATACACATTTTTCTTCCACTAGATTCCATTCTGCATTAACAGCCTCCTTCATAAATGTTATTTAAATATTCATTTGACATTCACATATGGAAAGAACTCATATATGAACAATAGCTACCATTATATGCTGTCTCCTACTGAGCTCCCACTGTGAGATGGGCATAAGATTAACCTTGCCTTACCACAAACAGACTGAAAGGAAATCTCCACTAGAATTCTGAGGTTCTTTTTTTTTTTTTAAATATAATTAAACCCAGTTAACATAAGCTTGGATTTCACCTAGAAATCATAGTTATGATAAAAAATGATAAATTACTTTCCTGTACACTCATAAATATCTTTTGAGTAGAAGTCTCTCTGTTTTTACAAAATACATACATACATACATACATACATATATACATACATACATACATACATACATTTGTGTGTGTGTGTGCTGGGGCCAGGAACATGCTATGGCACATGTTTATGAGTCATTTCTCTTCTTCCACGATGGAGATTCTGGGGATTGAACTCAAGACATCAGGGTTGGCAGCAAGCACCTTTACTTCCTGAACCATCTCTCTGGCCCCATTTGCCAGTTGTTAATTTGTTAAATGTATTGAAAAAAAAACTGCACACTCCTGAAACTTCAGAGATAAGTAACAACTCCAGTCCAAGGTAGAATGTATTGGACAAATACTATAATGTCCCATCTCACAGGACACAGGTGACTCTCTCACCTCTTTTTACCATTATCTAATAATAGTGAATATATAACCATTGATGGAATGCTGCATATTATCAATAAGTACTGAGATCTCCTGAGTGTTTATTCAGCTTTGGCTACCATACTTGGTCTGGGGGATTTCATTATTATATCCAAGAAGGTAGAACCAACATGGCAGCATTGTGATCCCTGCCTAACAGGTAAGTGAACCAAATGTCAGAGGAACTCAGCAAGTTAAAAGAGGTTTCCATCCAGAACCCATGCTGAAGTTAGCCTGATACAAAGGCAACACTCCCCACCACCTTCTGGGCAAATCAGTCTATTATAAATAGTCACTCATTGAACTCCTTAAAGACTCAGTAGTGCAAATCAGTCTATTATAAATAGTCACTCATTGAACTCCTTAAAGACTCAGCAGCCGTCATAAACCAGAGATAGATGCTTTGTTAGGAACTGCTGGGCTTTGGGCTTTAAAGAGCAAATGATTTTGTTAGTCAGGAGAAATTGGAAAGCTCCAGGTCCAGAGTCCCTGTCTCAAAAACTAGGTGGAGTGACTGAGGATGACATCTGACATTAACCTCTGGCCTCCACATGCCTGCACACAGGTGTACACACACGGACACATACATAAGCACAGACTGAAAATGCTGCTTACATGGTTGTTATGTTTATAGTGTCCTAGCTATTACAAGTTACCTAGAGGTGGTTTAAAACATATGAGAGAATCCACTTGGGCTGCACACATTACCATGTTTTGAGCTTGAACACCTGCAGATGTTGGTATTTGGAAATATTGTGGAACCATTCACCTGTGGACATCAAGGGACTCCCTTATGTAGTTCAGTTTCCTACATATGATGTATATCTCTTGGGGCCAAACAGTCAGAATGACTTATGGTGGTTCAGGATTTGTTTTTCCTTTACCAGGTGTTTCAGTTACTTTTCTATCCTGTAATAAGATACCATGACCAAGGAAACTTGTAGAAGAAAGGGTTTATTTTGGCTTACAGTTTTAGGGAGTTACAGTCCATGGCCATCATGGTGGGAAGCATGGTAGCTGGCAGGCTGTCATGGCACTGGAGCAGATGAGCTTATCATTGATCTGTAAGTTTGAGGCAGAGAGAACACACTGGGAATGGCATGAGCTTTTGAAACCTCAAAGCCCCACCCTAGTGACAACCCCCCTCCAACAAGGTCACACCTCCTAATCCTTCCCAACAGTTCCACCAACTAGGGACCAATCTTCAAATGTATGAGCCTACAGAGGCCTTTCTCACTCAAACTACTACACCAGGATACAAAATTGCTACACATCAGTATAAGCCACACGTCAAATGTTGAGTTTTGATTTTCCTTGGTCTGGTGAAATGCAACATGACAGTCTTTGAGGATGCTTGGCAGAGTCACTAAGATCTCAGGTCCCTGGCAGCCAGACAGAAGGAGAACCCAGGTCCTCTTCTCTGTACTGTCTTGCTAACCACGTTGTTTTGTGGCTGAGGTGCTTTACATGTAGTTTGGACTTAGGATGTTCAATTTAAGATGAACTCCAGTCTCAAATTGAGGAGCGCTGGCATTAGCTCCCTATTTTATTCACAATTTAAGACCAAACACACCTGCTGCCTTTGGAGACTGTTTTCCCCGAGTCCCCTCTGGTGATTGCAAATAGCTCAGGCCATTTTTACAATAATTCACTACCTGCAATTCACCCTCCTCTCAACATAGAAGTGATTTGATTATGTTATGTAGATTTATTTTCTCTTAGGTTTTAAGATCGTGTTAACATTTGGTTTGGTTTTGTTTTTTTCTACATCAAGAGTTAAACATGCTGACTATGGATAAATTATGTTCTTTTAATAGTTAATATAATGCAATCCAGAGCCATTACTGGCCTAATTGGGTTATTTGTGCTTTGGCTTAGGGTCTAGAACACAATAAACTTAAAGGTCTGAGCACAGCGAGGTTAATTATGCTTAAAACCTGCAAGGCAGCTAGTTTGGGGTCCTTTACATACACACACATTCACACACACACACACACACACACACACTCACACACACACACACACACACACACACACACACACACAAACTCACTCACACACACTCAATCTGCGAGAAAGAGAAAACCACCAGTTTTTCCAAAAAGCAGTGAACTCACAGCTGCAGCAGTGAACTCATGCCTTTCCTTGAGTCTGCACAGCTGCAGCTGGGATCTAACGGTCTTCTTACCCTCCTCTCTCCTTGTGCTACCTTCTCCCAAATTATTTGTCCTTAGGAACTGTTCAGCTCTCAGCTCTGCTGAAAACGGCTCCCCAGGGCCTCTGAAATTAAACATAAGCTCCTCGCCATGGCTTTTAAGAATTTTCTAATTTGGTCCCAATTTATCGGCATGGTAGCATGGCCCGCTACCCCACGGCTCCGTCTTTAGCTTAATTAAAGTTGTTTAAATATTGTGCCTGGGACTCTCCAGCAGTTTCCCATCTCAGAGTCTCTGCTGATGCCCACACCTCCCCCTACCCCCACAGCCTTTTCATTCTCCTGGAACCCTGCTCACTGGTCTTCTTTGGCCAAGGGGAAGGACAGGATGATGGCAGGTGCATGGAGGGTGAAGATGTCAGAAGCAGAGCATGGTCCTTCTGCATCTGAGAGAAAC